GTCCTTTAAAAGTTTTTAATTTTTCTTGTCAGCTTTAACACTTTCAGGGGCAATAACTCATTGAAGGAGTCACCGAATACTTTTGCAATGAATAGATTGAAGAGTCCCCTTAATTAGTCGAAGACATTCTTAAAGGTTTCATACCTCTGCGGTTTATGGTTTTTGAGGAGTAGCGATAACAAGTATTTTTTGCAAAAGGGGCAATAACTTCGAAAGCAGTCAAGGTTCATTTACGCAGGGTCAACTGCAAACATCTTTTACGGAGTACATTCCTATGAACTATAAATCTTTTCGATATATCTTCAAACAAAAAAACATGCGGCGGAAAAATAATAAAAAAAAGAAAAAAGAATAATAACTAGGAGACTTATTGTTCAAAGAACAATAAGAGGTCTTTCCACCTTTTGAATTTCAATTTCATTTATAATTTATCTCTTTAAGATTAAATTTCATAAAAAAAGAAACCAGGAATGGCTTAAAAAAAGAAAAAAAAATTAAAAAAATTTCAGGTGACCTTGACCTTTGACCTTCAAATCATATTCAAGGTCAAAGGTCAAGGGTCACATTGTAATTAACCTCATGTCTCTATGACTTATAGTTTTAAAGTTATAAGGTTTAATAGTAAGCACAAAAGCATTTAAGGGCAGTAACTCATTCAAGGAGTCACCAGATCCTTTTGCACTTGAACATAAAAGTTTTGCCTAAAGTCCCATAAGACATTAGAGAAGGTTTCGTGTCTTTGCGGTTTATGGTTTTGGAGCAATAGCAATAAAAATGTTTTTCGTACAAGGGACAATAATTTTTTATAGGGTCAATCTTAAGGGACGAGAATGACATCTAAGACACAGTTTTAAAAGTACATATTAATGATGCATAGAAATTAAGCATATGTTGAAAGACAAAAGAGATATAAAAAGAGCTAAATTTCTCAATTTTGGAATGACCTTGACCTTTGACCTTTACATGAATTTTAAGCTCAAAGGTCAATGAATCTTATGCAGTTTGGCTCATGTCTCTATACCTTCTCGTTTTGAAAATTTTTAACTATTTCTAAAATTCAGAGACTTTCAAGGGCAATAACTCATTGAAGGAGTCACCAAATACTTTCACAATGAATAGATTCTGAAACCCTCTCAATTAGTCGAAGACTTTAGTGAAGGTTTCATATTTGTATCGTTTACGGTTTCGAAGTAGTAGCAATAACAAGGTTTACCGCACAAAGGGCGATAACTTTTAATAGGGTCAATCTTACGGAATACGAATTGAATCTTTTAAATAGTTATAAGAGTACGTATTAATAATGCTCAGACAGTTTGTATCTGTTAAGAGACAAAAAAGATATGAAAAGAGCTTAATTTCTCAATTTTGGAATGACCTTGACCTTTGACTTTTACATGAATTTTAAGCTCAAAGCTCAATGAATCTTATGCAGTTGGTCCCATGTCTCTATCACTTCTCGTTTTAAAAATTTTTAATTATTTGTAAAATTCAAAAAGTTTCAGGGGCAATAACTCATTGAAGGAGTCACCGAATATTTTCGCAATGAATAGATTCCAGAGTCCTCTCAATGAGTCGAAGACTTTAGTGAAGGTTTCATATTTCTACGGTTTACGGTTTCGAAGGAGTAGCGATAACAAGCATATCTTGCGAAAGGGGCAATAACCAAAGAGTTCATAGTTCATATACGCAGGGTTTTTTGCAAATATCTCTTACAAAGTACATTCTTATAAACTATAAATCTTTTCAAAAGAACTTCAAACAAAAATTCGTCCGGCGGAAAAATAATAAAAATAATAATAAACAGAAGAATATCAATAGGTCTTTCCACAGAAAGGTGGAAAGACCTAATAAACAGAAGAATATCAATAGGTCTTTCCACAGAAAGGTGGAAAGACCTAATAATGAGACATATGCAATGCCTCCAACATAAAAGAAAAGTTAACTTAGTCTGTTTTCCCCCTTCGTTGTGACTCATTTCAAGAGCATTAGACAGAGGAGTAAGTTGGATGAGATTGCATTCCTTTAAAAAATGATTTTAAAAAAACGAAATCATTATCTATTTATACCATAGTTAGGTGTGATTTCTTTTGTTAAAAGTGTGGGTTTTCTGATACATAACCCACACTTTTCTATAACTCCGCCCATCGAGTCGGAACAAAAGAACTATTTATAAAACGATCAAGCACGGTTTTTAAGGTCAAGATCTAGTAAATGAAAGGTGCCTACAGATTTATCAAACTTGAGAAATAAATTCCTTTATTGATGCTTTACAACTTTAGCTTGGTCAAATAATGTGTTTCGGGGCATATTTTGTAGGTAAACAAGGTGGAAAACTGTATTTTAAACTGTCATTTTCAATAAAAGATTAAGAAAACCAGTCATGAATATGGGAGTTTTTTTAATATTCGACAAAGGAAATGTAAGATTGCCTACAGTCTCCAGAAAACGGTAATTAGCATGTTCATGGCCTGAAAATCAATATCAAATTTAATATAGGTATCCGGTTTACTTTTCATATGATTTCAAATTGAATGTCAAAAAATACCATATTTTCTATATAATTCTGCTAAAGCCGTAAAGTAAAAAAATTGAAATTTTATGACGTCATAATGACTAGCACCAAAAATTAGTCTAAAGTTATTTACTAGATCTTGAGCTGAAACAATCGTATGCATGATACGGGCTTGTTATTTTTTAAAAAGGAGAAAAAATTTTCAATTGTCTACAGCATTTTGTAATAAATAACAGTTAAAAATGGCCATTAATACTTTAACTTTAGTTAAAAGTGAAGAAAAAAAAACTTCAGAAATTGCTTGATTTTTAAAACATTTTTTTTTTTTTGGATAGTGTAATGACCAGGGTGACGTTAGCTTAGTAGATTCCAATATATCGTTCTTTTGTTTTGATAACCAACAAAAAACATGTGTACACTACTGTACTTAAATAACCTTTTCAGTATGCATTTAGCCGATCAAAGATCATATTTTTTATTAAATTGAAATATACATAACCCCTAACAAACATTTCAATCAACGTACCACTGTGCACGGCAAAGTTTGTATCAGGTTTATAAAAATTTAAGTTAAACCAAGTTCATAATAAATTTAAATTACTGGTATGTATAATTTTGACGATTGAAATTTACGAGAGAAAAAAAAAACATATCAAATTAACATATATCACTGAAACCAAACTCGTCATTTTTTCAATTACATAAATCAAACTTTTTAAACGGGCCTAGATATGTTTAATTTTTATGTCGCTTGCGGAGCCCAGTGGTTAAAGTACCTGCCCTAGAGTCACGAAGTAAGGAGTTGAATCCCACTGTGGGACGTGGAGACCTATACAGTATAAAAAGGTAAAAAGAGGTCCCGGTCGCAAAGGGTTAATTTCAATGACCCTGAGTGCCTATTTTTCCATGGCAAAATTTGCACAAAATTTGAAAAGTATTGTACATAAATCACTTACCCTATATTCGATGGACGTGGTCAGAAGGACACGAAGGAGCATGAAATCATATAAAATCCAAATGCATCTTTGAAACCAAACACTTAATGTTTCAATCAACAAACTGTCCGACCTAAGCTGACTTACATATGAATGATTTTTGAAAACTATGGTACAAGTCATTTACCCCATAACACACTTTGATTATGTGTAGATCGTAAAATTCACACTTTTCTCTAGTAATATCTGAAAATGTACACATAACCAACAATTTTGATGGGGTAACTCTTTTTCTATAAGCAATGAGCAGTAAAGAGTAATTTTATGCTTTTTAGACATGATTTGAGCTTAAAATCAAGAAAAAACGTGCTAATAATGACTTAATTAAAATAATTTTAACTTATGATTAGCTATTTTAAACAAACGATCAAAAATAACATTTTATTTCTTATGTTAGCAGAAAGGTCTGTCAACAATGTAATAAGATTAAAGTGAGTCAATTAATTATTGAAATAAGAAGTCTATAGTTTTTACAGGTTTGTTTCATTTTTTTTTTATACAAACAGAATACTTTGATGTATTTTTTTGTATTACAGAATAATTAATTCCGGAACTGAGTTACAGATCGGATGAAAATCAAAATGAGATATTTGTTAAAATTTTTTACAAAATCCTTCTATACTTGTAAGTAAAGAAAACAATTAATTTCAAATACTTTAAATATTATGCTTATATGCACGTAGAAGTCACTTATGATTTTTTTTTATTGTTGAAACAAATCGAAATTTATATTAATTTAAATTTTAATTAAGCTATGTATGATGAAATTAAGAAAGCTATTTATTAACTTTAAAAAATCCTTCTATTTGTAATTCAAGGAGACAATTTCAATTTATTCATTATGCATTTAGCATCCAGATTTGCTTTGTCTTTAAAGCCCGTCTCTCCCCTTAAATCACCTTGCACCTCAAATAAGCATAAAAAAGTATTACTCTCTACTACTGTAATGGTTCTAGATTAACTAATTCAAGTTTAAAAAAAATATATCCGAATTCAAAGCTACACAAGAACACGCCAAAAAGAGTATCCATCTGTATTTAATTTCTAGTCAGACCCCTCTTCCTTTTTCCCTGCATACAAACTCTCTCCCTTTCCAGAAACCTGGTTATGGCCCTTTTTTCCAGTATTCTTAGATGTGTTTCTTTGTTTGTTGTTTAACGTCCATCTCGAATTTTTCACTCGTATGGAGACGCCACCAATTCCCGGTGGAGAACTGCAAATTTGTCCTTTACTCGGCACTTACATCAATCGAGCAGTTAGGGATCTTTTTCTTGCCAGCACCTACTGCGACGCGGGACATCGTATTATACGGTCTCATCCGAAGTACTAGTACCGGTCTCCACGTCCAGCAGTACGATTCAAACCCGCGACGTAAGAAACAACTCCCGACTCCGCGTTTCTAGAGCAGGCGCTCTAACCACTGCGCCACGCGGGCGACTCTTTGATGTGAGATTAGAGGATTTGAAACTACGCATTATTATTCCCACTTCTTATCAATATCTACCTCACATTTACAATTATCGTACAAAACAACCCTTAGGGGTCAAATTATTAGATAGATAACCATTTGTCTGCTAACATTTGATATTCTAAGTGCTGTAGGTAATTATTCCCTGAACATTCGCGCCAAAATGAAGCTTTCCGTGCGTGTTCGAGGTGACTGGTTTGCTGTCCCGTGTAAAGGGACTGAGAAAGTCACGTGGCTTGGAGAGGAGTCCTTAAGGAGATACTATAAATCTAAGTCTGGGGTGGGGCATGCTCTCAAGGAAAAGGTTTATGAGGTTCGGAAAGCCAAGGGAGCCGCCATCTTGGATCCTGATGACGCAATTAGAGATGTCCTGGACGAAAATGATTTCGTCACTGTCGGTAGGATAGAATTATTTTGATGGTGGACATAGTGCATAAAAAATCAATATATATTTGACAAAGATAAGATATTTTTAATGAAATGCAATGCAAACCTTTGACATTCTTCTAATTCAAATAATTATATCATGTACCATACTATTATTGATCTCTACTTTATTAGTACTTGACAGCGATATATCAAGTCCGGTAACGGGACCAGCCGAGCCGGTGTACGTGGAGGAGAAAATGTATCCTAGTCTGACATTTGTTTTCTTTTAAGGCAGAACTGAACAATTTCTATAAGAATAGAAAAAAAGTGATACTTACCAGGTGCAGATGAATGATTCGGTTAACTGACATGAGTAGCGCACCATAGCGTGCTGTAACTCGATAAGCTGACAAGAGTAGCCAATACCCGGTATAGTGTGCTGCAGCTACTTGACAAGCATTGCACGCCATGATATATTGTACCTCGGTGAACTGACAAGCATTGCACGCCATGATATACTTTACCTCAGTGAACTGACAAGCATTGCACGCCATGATACACTGTACCTCGGTGAACTGATAAGCATTGCACGCCATGATATATTGTACTTCAGTGAACTGACAAGCATTGCACGCCATGATACACTGTACCTCGAACTGACAAGCATTGCACGCCATGATACACTGTACCTCAGTGAAGTGACAAGCATTGCACGCCATGATACACTGTACCTCGGTGAACTGACAAGCATTGCACGCCATGATACACTGTACCTCGGTGAACTGACAAGCATTGCACGCCATGATACACTGTACCTCGGTGAACTGACAAGCATTGCACGCCATGATACTAGTATAATGTACCTCGATGAACTGACAAGATTAGCTTACTATGGTATAATGATGCACCTCGGTAAACTGACAAGAATAATATGCCAGGGTGTGCTGTAACTCGGTGAACTGACAATCATGTGCTGTTACTTAGTAATCTGACAGTAAGGTATATCAAGGTGTAACTCGGTTAACTGACAAGAACAGCTTACCTTGGAATGTTGTTACTCCGTGAACTGCCAAGAGTAGAACGCCATTAAATGTTGTACCTCGGTTAATTGACAAGACTATATACTGTAAACCAACTTTTATTCTGGTGCGAGAAATTTTCGCGAGGTTCGCAAGAGCTCCGTCATCGCGAATATTTCTCGCCTCGAACCGGTCCTTAAAGTCTATGTGGCTATTAACAACAAATCTAAAATAGGCTTGATCGCCAAAATTATTCGTCGCGAACTAGTTTATCCTGGTAAATCGCGAAATTAAGTCGTCGCAAATAACAGTTGGTTAACAGTAGCTCACAATGGTATGCGCAGTTAACTGAAAAGCTGAAAAGCGTGAGACATCAAAGTATGCTCAGACTTTGTTTACTGAACACTTAACTGAAATACAAAACATTTTAACTGAATACATGACACACCTTTGTATGCTTGTAGTTCAATTAACCGACAAGAGTAACGCACCCTGGCTTGTTTGGAATCGGATATCCTACAAGATTAGTATACCCTGTTACGCAATGTCACTTGACATACAATAGCATATTATAGTATGCTGTGCTCAGTTTTAAAAAAGAAATATACCAAAATATTATGAATTTCGGTTAAATACAATGTTAAGGTAAATAAATTCTATGGTGATTATGTATGTGACTATTGTGACTATGTTTTTTCCTTGACCATCGAAGTGCTAAGACTAGTGTGGAGTCCGCCACGGAGGTAAAATCCTTCTGTAGCATTTTATCTGAAATTATTTTTACTAATTTGCATATTGGATACGAGACTTTTTTATACTCATTTATTATATACATGCTGTCTTACAATCGTAGATTCCTGAAATTAATCATCATATTCAAGAAACTTGTTTATTGTTTTTATCATATTGATTGTCCAAGACTTAAACATACGCTATATTTCACACAAGAACTCTGCAATGCCTTACTTTGTTGAAAAACACGAACTTTTCCTTTTTGTTTTAACAGTACATTGCTCTAGATGGCAACAGTCTATCGACCGACGACTTGCTGAGGTTAGGCAAAGGCCATTACCTAATAAAGGTAAGGATTAGATAAAGTGGGAATGAAGAGCTTTCTGAATTATACAATCAATAAGGCAAAGTGCCATGTCTATCTTAAGTGTGTCAAATAAAAATAGCATTTCTCTATCCGGGTTTCGCGTCACACATCCTCTTTCTCAACAGTGACACAAAAAGCAAAAATAAGACTTAAACAATGTCTAAACAAACAATTCTAATTAGACATCTCACTTTTTATAGCTGACAGTTGAAGCAGAACAAAAAGTAAATAAGGCCAGAAAGCTTCTGGACGACATTGTGAGCAGCAACAAAGGTAAAAAAATATTACAAAGGAAAGGGAAAAGAAAACTTCTCTTATGCCCTGTTCACACGACGAGTTTAATTCGCAGTAAATTAATGCGAAGTAAACTGATGCGAATCAAATTAATGCGAATTAAATTGCGTTCACACGACAGCTAATAAAAAAAAATAATATTTGAAGTTTTGATACACAAAAGGTTTCATGATTTTGCACGTGTCCTGTGACTGCATGCGTCAAAATTTAATTCGAATTACAGCGTTCACACGAGTTTAATTTAATGCGCAGTAAATTAATACTAAGCATTAAATTCTGAAATTAAGATTAATTAAACTATTAAAAATAAAAAAAAATAATATTTGAAGTTAAGACAAAAGGTTTCATGATTTTGTCGAGACTCAATACTAAGTAATGAAATTAAGATTAAATATGAAACAAATTGTCAAATGAATTTTGACATTGTGTTTTTTTTCAGTTGTTTATGGAATAACAACTGGCTTTGGAAAATTTGCAAGAACCACAATTGAGAAAAACAAACTAATGTGAGTTATTTCTACATGATTGTAGGGTCAGTTTATTAGAAAGTGCATGTCATATTTCAATATTTGATAAGCTCTAAAAATCTAAAATCTAAGATTTTAACTGTATTCCCAAGTTTCTAGCACTTTTCTTTATCTATACTTATGTATCATGTTGATGCGCTATCATTTCTAGAGAACTTCAAGAAAATTTGATTCGATCTCATTCAGCAGGTAGG